CCCTGCGCAGGCGCCCCGCCCACGTCCCCGTCCCGACCTGGCGGATGGGCTCGCCCAGGGCCTCCAGGGTGCCCGGGTAGTTCTCCATGAGCGACACGTGCAGCTGGTTCTCGGCGCGCTGCGGCAGGGCGGACACGAGCGCGTAGGCCTGCTCCAGCAGCGCACAGTTCTGCCGGTTCCTCGCCTTGTTGCGGATCAGCTCCTGGGGGGCACAGCGTCAGGCCGCGTTCCCAGCCGCTGCGCGACGAGGCCGGGGAGGGGGCCCGGCGCGCACCCCTACCTTGAGCAGGGCCTGGTACTGCTGGACGCGCTGCACTGGCCGCTCCAGGAAGTGCTGCAGGGGCGGTGGGGGCGGCTGCGACGGGTCCGCTGCGGACAGCACCTCCTCCGTGTATTTCTGTGGGAGCCGCGGGGCGGGGTTGGGGACACGCCGGCAGAGGTGGAGAGCGGGGGGCTGGGGCATCGGGGTGCGCGCGCGGACTCACACGCACACGCGCGCACCGCCGTCCTCCCCCGCCAGCCGCACCCTGCCCCGCTGCACACACGCGCGTACACACACGCACGCGCGCGCACCGCCCTCCTCCCCAGCCAGCCGCACCCCTGCCCCGCTGTCACCATCTGAAGGGGAGCACGGGGCTCCGGGGGCTCTGCTTTCTCAGTGAGCCGAGGGGCGCGGGCTGGGGTGCACCTTGTAGAAGTCCTGCACAGCCGTGCTGACCACCGCGGACTCGGCCTGCACGCGGCCCACCAGGAACTCCAGGTACTTCTCAAAGGCCTCCTGGTTCTTGATGAAGCACATGGCCACATCGTCGTCTGTGTCACAGGTCTGCAGCTCCCGTTGGAAGCTGCAGGAGAGGGCACGGTGGGCAGGCGCGGGTGAGGCCTCAGGTCTGGGACGGAGCAGGCTACCCCCCAGGGCTGGGCTGCGTGGCTACTTGCAACGGAGTGCGCTGAGCTTCGGGGGCTGCGGGTGTGCGGGGGGTGGGGGAGCATGCGCGTCTGTGTGCCTGCATGCAAGGACGTGCACGGGTTCATGCAGCCGTGCGTGCGTCGGTGCGTGTGCCATGCCCACACGTGCCACAGGTGCAGGAGCGTGCGTGTGCATGCGGGCGTGCACGCGTGTGGGCGTGCATGTGCGCATACCCGAGGGCCAGCCCACCTGCTGTGGAAGTGGCTGATGTCCTGCACGTTGCGGAAGATGACTGCCTTCTGGCTGGCCACGGCCGTGGGCACATGGGGGCATCGCTCCAGGTGCTGAATGTGGTGGTCCTGCAGGAACTGCAGCTTGCCCACAAAGGCCTGCTCGGAGCTCAGCAGCTCCTGGATGATGGAGCTGGGAGGGGATGAGGTGAGGAGAGACCCAAGGGCTAGTGACGCCCCCGCACAGCCCGCCCCCGGTTGTCAGAAAGAGCCTGGTAAAGTGGTGGAGGGAGGCACCCCCACGACCGTCCCGCCCCCGCCACCACAAAGCCCCTCACGCCCCCGCCTGCCGGACCCTCACCTCAGCCTTGTCTTGTATTCATCCTCAGACACGGTCTCCCCCGGGAACTCGGGGGTCTCCGTGGGCCCCCACTCGGGTGACAGCTGGTGAGAAAATGGGGGAGGGTGGCAGGTGGCCTCGGCTCTGGCCTCACAGGGGACGACAATCCCAGAACCCCATCCCAGCCATCCAGTACCTTGAGCCGCTTGTCCAGGTAGGCAGGGGACACCCAGCCTTGCCTCGAGGGGCTGGACTTGGTGGGCTTGGTGCGCACAAGCCAGCGCAGTGGGTGGGCCGAGTCCAACACCTCCACATACTGGCCCTCCCGCAGTGAGATGGCGTCCTGCTCGGCCCCCAGGGGCAGGTAGTCAGCTGTGACCACGTAGATATCGAAGATCTGGGGGCATGATGCTGACTCAGACTGGGGTGGGGGGCCAGCCTGATCCACGGAGGCACCAACAACCTCCAAAGACCCCAGAGGAGCGGGGGACCCGGACGGGGGGCCAACCTGACCCATGGAGGCCCCAACAGCCCCCAAAGACCTCAGAGGGGCGGGGGAGCTGGACAGGAGCCAGCCAGGCCTCCCAAAGCCCCAACAGTCCCCAAAGACCC